TCTTTGTCATAGCACTAATAGTACATGTTCTAATAAATATTGTACTCCATCATGTAAGTATGCAATGGCTTCTTTACACTTGTACCAGCACCAGAAGACTGACTTGCAATGGCCAATCTAAGTAGAACCTATGAAAACAATACTGAGGTATTAGATGAAAATAATAAACATTTTTTCAGATACAAGTATGTTCATTTTATTATTGTCATCTTCAGAATGATATACAGTTATGTGTGATAAACCCAATTTATTCAACTCACACTGTTATTGCAGTCTCAGAGCACTGGCTACTCAACCTTAGATTCACACATACCATACTGACCCTTGATTCACATGTACATGCACCATACTGGCCCAAGAATCACACGTACCATACTGACCCTCGATTCACACATACTGTACTGTACCCAAGAATCACACGTACCCTACTGACCCTCGATTCACACATACTGTACTGTACCCTAGATTCACACGTACCCTACTGACCCTCGATTCACACATACTGTACTGTACCCTAGATTCACACGTACCATACTGACCCTCGATTCACACATACTGTACTGTACCCTAGATTCACACGTATCCTACTGACCCTCGATTCACACATGATTTTGCCTGTAAAAGCATCAAACTGTACCTTGCAATTGTCATAGTTGGTTTGACTCCAACAGCCACTTCTAGTCTTTCAAGTGCCTCATTTACTTTTCCCTGTAGTAAAAGCAACCTGCCAGCATGTACATTGTATACAGCATTATTCTGACTTAAAGACACTGCATCCATGTACTTCAAATAGGCTTGACCAAGAGGAGTTTCTTCATTTGATGCAGCTTGGGCTACTTTACCATCCTGCAAATACAGAACATTATATTGTAATTATTTTCCACATATTACTTAATCTAGATACAGTGCATTGATGGATGTGTCAGTCCTGGCACTCCAATTTGTACCAGATGTGTCATCCCCGGAACGCCATTCTGGACAGGATGTATTAGTCCTGGCTCTCCAACTTCACCAGATGCGCAAGTCCTGGCACTCCAATTTGTACCAGATGTGTCAGTCTGGATATACCATTTTGGATTGGATGTGTTAGTCCAGGCTTTAAACTCCACTAGACGTGTCAGTCCTGGGTCTTCAATTAGAACTCTAACAGTATATGCTTAATAGAATATAAACTTTTCATTGTCGAGTACTACCATATGTATTATCAAGATATCTCATCTGATCTTATTTTACCTGTGTGGCCTGCTTTGATTTCAATATGTACAAAGTTTGTACATAATCAGCCTTAGCAGACTGCCCTGTTTCTTTGAGATATTTCAATTCCTCATCAATAGCTTGTAATATGCGTGACAGTGGTGCATTGGCAGCCACACCCCTCTGCTGACACAAGGCACGAGTGTCTTCTTCTTCTGTACTCTCATGTTTGCTACTTGTACCAAGACTCATTGCACCAAAGTCATCATCAACATCCTATGGATAATGGGTACATTTAAATAAACAAATACAGAGTTACATAACTGAACCATTTTGTTTTCCTTATACCGGCAGTATTTTGGTGTGCCAAAGATTTGTTCATATGCCCAATTTAATATTAAATCTTCATTGAAATTTGAGTCTTGATTGAGGTTTTGAATCACCCACAGTGCCATATTAGATGAAAAGAGTCTATGGCAAGATAATGTGTGAGATGAATCCAATATGAGGTTTTGGGAATTTATTATTGTTGATATAAATCACCACCATCAGAAACAAATTTAGTTAAATTTAGAGGATCTTTGTTGAAATAAATTTGTCTGCGAACAGAGTTTCATATTATTGCAATAATGTAAAACTACCGGTAATTCTGATAGTGGTGATCTATAATGTACAATAAAGTATATATGACAAGCATTTCTCAACCAAGTCATTATAC